CTACTTTTAGCCCCGCTGACCTCATAATAGAAAAGCATCCCGATCAGATGCGCCCTCGATGCTCCAATTAGCTTGAAAATAAAGCCTGTTCCATGTCTCCCGGGGGGTGAGCCTTCCAATGCTGATATCCCTTTGCAGCTACCAGACACCATCCATTGTCATTTCCCTACCATCAGTCTCCTCAAAAGTTGGTGTAAATACAGGAATGACACTTCCTGCTCCTGTTGCGTACGCCGATTATGGTACAAAGATCATTTTCTGTTTACTCTCAGCAAACAGACAGCATAATAACAATCCCTCTTTGGCACGTGGAACAGGCTGATTTTGCGGTCTGTGTGAAAATCGATATATTCCAGCCATGAACTGTGCCACCAAGGGATGCTGTTTCGGGACGGGCTGTATTTTTGATAACAGAATCTGCAAAATGAAATTTTATCTATCTTCAGTGGTCCATAAAAGGGTCTGTTGACAACCTCCAATTCTTCAGAAGGAGGACGAGAGAGGTCCTAATATAACAGAAAGTTTTCTTCCCCAGAAGGTCACATATGTGACCCCCCCTATTCTTGACAGTGCATTGGTCCTGTCTTTATTGGACTTGAGCATTACGGATGACCGACTGCCTTGCTGTGCATTTTCCGCACACTGTGTAATTCTCCCATTGGTATGCTGGAGCACTAGTGAATTAGTCACATGTAAATGATACAATAGGTTAATCCATTACAGTTGCGGGGGAGGTTTCATCATTTCCTGCAGAGTATTACACAGTCTGATCTGTTATTCACCCACCTCCCTCCCTCGTGGAGACATAATTTATTACCCCTGTCACACATGTACATGAACCTCCACATAATTTCAGGCATTTGTTGAGCCTGATCATGACAAATTACAAGTGCATGAAAAATGACTCTACAAGAGCAGTCTTTTGTATGTACATTGTTTGTAGATTTGTAACAGGTACCGCCTTGTGTTCAAGGTGATAATAACAGGATTTACTGGTACATTCACCACAATACATGCTATTTGTATTCATGTACATGTACATGTTATACATATATGCAATGATTCCTTTTAATACTCATTCATAAATACCTAAGGCAGTTCACCCATTCCTATTGGTCGAGAGCCCGTCATGTGGACGGTTTTAAACGGTTGATACAGTCCGGCTGGCTGGTCTTAAACACTTTTTCAGTGTCACATGAAATTTGCACTCCTATGAAATCCGGTGCCTTTTACCGTCAGTATTTCATAGTCCTAAATTCACGATACACCGGCACAGCTGCGTTCTGTGCCACAACACACAGCATGCGTGACACCCGCGCCAATCTTCATATAAGGAGTTGTTAACAACTACTCGCGAGAGGGACATACATGTATAATATAGCTAGAGGGATGTTTCAGAAACATGAAGTAAACAGGTTGAACAAATTGATTGGAAATTTAGAATTTTTGAGTTTTTTTTACTTTTGGACCGACAAGTTTGATTTTTTTTAACAAAAATTTGGCTCAGGTAATTAGCATCATCCAGACTCCAACCGGTCTTAAGAATGTTTAAAACCGGCAAAGCACACATTTATTCCCATTTTCATAAATACCTGATAAAACACCAATTAAATTTAAACACTGTTTTTCTGGTGTCACATGAATTTGGACTCCTACAAAATTTGGTCCCTTTTCCTCTTTTATTGGTTGAACGTTCACAATCTTCACTTAGGAATTCGCCATACTACCAGTGAGTCCATGTTTCATAAAGTCCTTAATTCATACTACACCGGCACCCCCAAGTTCTTTGGCACATCACACAGTATGCGCCATGCGCGCGCCAATCTCCATATAAGGAGATATTTAGTACTTCTTGTGAGAGGCACATGCCATAAACATAGCTAGAGGGGTGTTTCACAAAACATGAAGTAAAAGGGTGGAACAAAATCGTTGGAAATCTATAATGACTTGTTTTGACTTTTTGACAGAAAGGTATTTATGAATAGGAATAAATATGTGCTTGGCTTGGGGCCTGCACGGGCGTCGATTATGGCCCGAGCCAAATACACAGTGAAACAACGCTTTAACGAACATTTGGCTATATAGCGAACATCCCCTTAGGCCCTCGAGATAATAAATTCACTATAACAAACAACCACTTTAGTGAAAAAAAAATTGTATGGACCCACCGCATTCATTATAGTGGTGTTTCACTGTACATGTACATGTACTTGTTTAAAACCAACCAAGGACATGTTTATTCCCTTATTAACCCTCCTATGCAAACATACATTCTGTTCCAAGTTGTCCTTTCAGTAACAAGTGACTGTTTTCAACAGTTTCATAAGAGCTCCCAGCCTACATAAAGAAGGATTGACTGGCTGTGACTGTTTATGTAACTTGATACAGCTGTGTTTTGACTGTAGGTGATTGATAAGCCAGCTGTGCCTACCACTTGTCTGCTTTACTCTGTTGACTGAATTTGACTAGCCACAGTGCTTGCTTTAAAAATGATCTGATTTTTGGTGACTAGCCTGTGTAAAAAGCACGGCAAGGGAAGAGGATTGATGTTTTGACTGTCTGTGACTGTTCAGATAGCAGGAGGGCGGTGTGGACTTCCCATTAGAACCCTAGTGCATGTGTTCTTTTTTCAAGTACTTGTAATTTGAATGCGAGCCGCAGTTTCAAATTTGTAGTCATGTGAAAATGCTAAAATGAGTATGTACATGTAAGCGTAACTCCCAGAACACACAAAAAAAAAGTGGTTAAAGGGAATATACATCATTTGCTTTTGCTGTAATTTTCAGAAATGGATGGAATTGGGGGGTTGGAAATATATAGCAAATATAGTTACACTGACTTTTTTGAGGTTTTGGGTTCGAAAATGCTATAAAAACCAAGAAAAACAATCATTTTCCTGTAGTCTGGTTCCCTGATTCCACATAAGAAGAAACAGAGCAGTTTACATACATTGGGGAATTGTAAGGTCAGGGAACCAGTCTAGCTGGCTCGTACCCGTTCATAGGTTTGTAATCGATTGCAAACAAGTGCGATGGTCAATTGGGGCCAGTATTTGATAAAAAGCCATTTTTTTCCAACGCTGATCGGCCGATCAGAGTTGGAAATTGATACAAAAGTACCACTTTTCTTGAAAATGACAGTATACCAGGTGCCATGATTTTACAGGATGCTTTACACTGTCATTCACTAACAGTCCAGTAAGGTATTTCAAAATGATTTGGTAGTTTTATTTTTTGATGTTTGCATATGTTGTATTTTCCCTTTAAAACTCATACCTTATTCATTCAAAAAAGTGGTACAAACATTTCTTTGTGTTTGTTATCCTGTTGGTCGCTGGCATATAGTCTTTTTGGTCAACATTAATGTTTAGTACATGTATTTCTAAATTCCATACTTTTCCAGATAAATGAGGGCGCTGTTGCTGTGATGTCATTTCAGGAAGATACTGTTCAGTTGAGGGGTTTTCTGTTCAAGTTGTGATCCCAAAATTTGCTCATTGAAAACATTATGTGGAAAACCTTGCTCATTGGCCTTCTTTCGTGCATTGAAATGTTCAACAACAAATCACCAAAGAAAAGACAATTTATGTGCGACAGCAAAATATCAACAATTCTGGCAAATGTTTGTGCTGAAATCGTGTAACATTGAGTTTTCTGCCTTAGATGACATCACACCTTTGCTTATGAATATGCAAATTAGCATAAAAACCAAGAAGGCACCAAAATGCCTTTAAAAATGACAAAATGAAAATTGAAAATAATTTATTTTAAAAAATATTACATTGCGTGGGTCCTTGAATATATCAGGCACTGTGTGAAGCATGTGTAGTTGATTACTTTGTGTGTGTCTGGGTACCATGATGCGGCATTGCCTGCTTGGTAGGCTTGATTGAATTTGAATAATGATTTGAATATTTGACTTTCTATTCAGTTGATTATTCAGTTATTCAATGATGCTAGAGGGAGGATGTTGGGTCAACAAGCAATAACAAATGCAGGTGTAATAAAGGACAAAACCGCACAGAATATACATTGTACATGTAATATTCAAGCTTTTATTAACTATTTCTGTTAGTAACACAAACTAATATCAAATCCAAGAAATCAGAAAATAAAAAAATACAAGTCATTAATCTTTTATTAGCTACTTTTATTAGCTACTTCTGTGAGTAACAAGAAATGATATATCAAATAAAAACACACAAAAAAAACAAGACGAGAGAAAAAGTTGGTTTTTGTTCCCTGTTTAAGCTACATGTAAACTACACATGTATTTCCCTTTCAAAAATTTCAGTCAAATTGAAAAATTGTGAATATTTGATAACACATCAGTGCCCTAATGTTCATGTACATGTACGTCTTTACCCTTAGCCAATGCATTCTTGCCCTCAGCCCATACCGGTGCATCCGTGCCCTCAGCCCATACATGTACATGTATATATCCTTACCCTCTGCCTATAAGTCCTTGCTCTCGGCCCATGCATTCTTTCCCTCAGCCCATAGTAACATCTGTGCCCTCAGCCCATATATCCTTGCCCTTAGCCCATATATCCTTGCCCTTAGCCCATATATCCTTGCTCTCAGCCCATACATCCTTGCTCTCAGCCCATAAATCCTTGCTCTCGGCCCATGCATTCTTGCCCTCAGCCCATACATCCGTGCCCTTTACATCCGTGCCCTTAGCCCATACATCCTTCCCTCAGCCCATACATCGTGCCCTTAGCCCATACATCCTCGCCCTTGGCCCATACATCCTTGCCCTCGGCCCATACGTCCCCACCCTCGGCCCACACATCCTTGCCCTCAGCCCATACATCCTCACCCTCGGCCCATACATCCATGCCCTCGGCCCATACATCCTCGCCCTCAGCCTGTACATCCTCGCCCTCAGCACAAAAAAACCTTGCCCTCAACCCATTAAAATGCTTGCCCTCAACCCATTAAAATCCTTGCCCTCAGCCCATAAATTCTTGCCCTCATCCCATACATCCTTGCCCCCAGTCCATGCATCCTTCCCTCAGCCCAAATGTACATCCATGCCCTCAGCCCATGCATCCTTGCCCTCAGCCCATACGTCCTTGCCCTCAGTCCATACATCCTTCCCTCAGCCCATGCATCCTTGCCCTCAGCCCATGCATCCTTGCCCTCAGCCCATACGTCCTTGCCCTCAGTCCATACATCCTTCCCTCAGCCCATGCATCCTTGCCCTCAGTCCATACATCCTTCCCTCAGCCCATGCATCCTTCCCTCAGCCCATGCATCTTTACCCTCAACCCATGCATCCTTGCCCTTAGCCCGTACGTCCTTGCCCTCAGTCCATGCATCCTTCCCTCAGCCCAAATGTACATCCTTGCCCCCAGCCCATGCATCCTTGCCCTCAGCCCGTACGTCCTTGCCCTCAGTCCATACATCCTTCCCTCAGCCCATACATCCTTCCCTCAACCCATGCATCCTTGCCCTTAGCCCGTACGTCCTTGCCCTCAGTCCATGCATCCTTCCCTCAGCCCAAATGTACATCCTTGCCCCCAGCCCATGCATCCTTGCCCTCAGCCCGTACGTCCTTGCCCTCAGTCCATACATCCTTCCCTCAGCCCATACATCCTTCCCTCAGCCCATGCATCCTTGCCCTCGGTCCATACATCCTTCCCTCAGCCCATACATCCTTCCCTCAGCCCATACGTCCTTGCCCTCAGTCCATACATCCTTCCCTCAGCCCATGCATCCTTGCCCTCAGCCCGTACGTCCTTGCCCTCAGTCCATACATCCTTGCCTCAGCCCATGCATCCTTGCCCTCAGTCCATACATCCTTCCCTCAGCCCATGCATCCTTCCCTCAGCCCATGCATCTTTACCCTCAACCCATGCATCCTTGCCCTTAGCCCGTACGTCCTTGCCCTCAGTCCATGCATCCTTCTATCCGCCCATACATCCTTGCCCTCAGCCCATTCAAAATTACCAATAATACTTTTTATGAAGTCTGAAACATTTCCTTGTTCGAAAATTTACGTTCTTCAATATCACAATATAAATTGTTTTGAAGAATTTATTTGAGAAACGATGTAAAACCCAAAAATGTTGAAACACCCCTATCAATATCAATGGCTGATATTTTTCGAAGAAATTCGCGATCGCAAAGTTGCATTTTTGACGTTACTAGATGCTTGCTGAAAATAACAATTTGATAAGTTTGGTAGTAAAAAGAGACCTGTTTGTTCTTAGGACAAAACCAATCAGCAATGATTGCCACAAAGCAGGGTTTTTACGCTCCAGGCTCCGACAATGCAAATGGGAAAATTTCATCGTATTTTGCAAGGGATCCGTTCATTACGTCGGTGGTCTGCAGGCACGGGCTGGCCTGGTGCCGGTGGCCGGGATAGGTAGCAATTTTCAATGTTTATTTCTCCATGTCATCATATGTAAAATTATTTACGGTATATTTTTGTTACATAACAAAAATGAGATTCCTCCTGGCAAATCGTGTTGTAGCATTTGGAAATTGCAATCGCCAATGACCTGTTCTGTCAGAAACCTGTGTGCACTCCATATTAATTTGTCTTGCCGTGGAGAATTAGGCCTTTGCCAATATTTTACTTAATAAAATCTGAACTATGAAATTGAAACTGGACTGAATTAAAACTAAGAAAATTTCTGAAAAAATATACGGGCAAAAAAAAAAAAATTGCACATTGCATGCAGAGAGAAGGAAAAACCTGATTTAATTGTTGTAGTCATGACTCATGACATGTCTAAAACCAGTACTAGTGTTGAGCTGTGGAGGTGCAATGTACATGATGTAGGCCCTGGCCTAATCACCCCTAGTTACAGAGCAAGGAAGTGGTTCAAACACTGGCCCCCCACTTTTTCCACTGGGGGACATGGCCCCCCCCCCCCCCCACACACTTTTATCTGGTCACAAACTAGTAGTCTGGTCGTGTACGCTCGGCCAAACATTAAAAAACAATCTTGTCTACTCTCATACTGGAGTTGTCAGACATCCACTGCTTGCAACTGTCCTTCCCTCAGCCCATACATCCTTGCCCTAGCTCACCCTACCGGTACACATCCTTGCCCTCAGCCAATATGTCCTAGTCCTCAGCCCATACATCCTTGCCCTCAGCCCATACATCCTTGCCCTCAGCCCATACATCCTTGCCCTTGACTCACAATGTTCTCAAACACCGTTAACATTCTTCCCTCAACACATACATCCTAGCCACTTGCCCATTTCGTCTTGTGCTCTGCCCTAATTATGTACATGTACTTCCTCTCTGTCTGCCAATACATTCTTATGAATCCCTTCAAAATAAAATCTAGGAATTATTGTACAAGTTTAGTAGTGCATGACATTATGCATGTTGCACTTTGTCCAGAAATCATTCTGCCTTCTTTTTACACAAAACAACTGTGTGTCAAGATCAGAAGTCCTCAGTATGAATTAGTGTAAAAGGAAATACGTGAAATATGGGCACGTCTATCACAATATGGAAAACAATGGTTTGGGTATTATAAGCCTACGACAAGGTCATCTCTAGGGCATATGGTCCACATTTTAATCAGTTACTGTACCTGTACATGTAGATGACTAAGAATGGAGGATTTATGTACATGAAGGTACCGGTACATCTCATAGTTTCTACATGTAGTCATACTACCTTGTGCATGCTGCAGTTCCCCACATAACCACAGTGCATCCTGTTCATGATTGGAAGCTACCGCAATCCTTGCCCTTTACCTAGACAACCTTGCCCTTTGCCCATTCATCCTTGACCTTAACTTGGTACATTTGCTTGGTACAGGCACAGAGACATACAGGGAACGCAGGTACATTGTACATGTTGTCTGTCCTCACCACATTTTGTGGAAAGACTGGGGAAGGAGATATCCTGTAGATTCCTTGCCCTTCAATCTAGGTCAAAGCTTGTAATACAATGTACCATTACCTCACAAGGCCACAGCTTACTCACTACTGAAGTGATGACTGACCAGGCAAAAAAAAAAAAAATATTCTGCTTCACATTACCCTACCTACCCTATTTTGACAGCCCCTACCCTAATTGGGGGGGATATGAGGAAAAACAAACTAAAATCATCAATTACTACCTTTTACCCTTCACTACACACAGACACCTCCATATGAACGTACACAAAAAAAAATTGACAATTTTTTTCCGCCCTATCTACCGGTACTTACTCTTTTTTCAAATGGCATGTAATCGGAAGCACAGGTATATTTTGGCCCCATTTAGTACTTATGTAATACCTGTACAGTGCACAGTGCTCACTGTGTTGTGCATGCACGTGTATGTACCCGGTATGCAGTTGACTGTGTAGGTAAATGATTGTGAGGACCTATTGTTAACTAATACGGGCGATTCACAATAGTGCGCCTCCAAGAGTTTGCAACGCGTTGGCCGATCACAATGCACGAAATCAGTCGACCTTTTCCATACGCGCATTGGGTGGACCGATTTCGCGCATTGTGATTGGCCAACGCGTTGCAAACTCTTGGAGGCGCACTATTGTGAATCGCCCTTATTAAGGACAAGCTGATTTACCCGATCATAGATCGGGTAGGGCGTATTTGTGTTGGGGTTGAAAGTGTGGGGAGTTAAATGTAAATGGGGGATTTAGTTGAGAAGACATGTAGCTATAGAAAAGCAATTTACGGTGACGCGATCTGAGGCAATTTGTGACCACGTACGATAGTAAAACAAAAGATCATCTTTTAAACATCATTTTCGAGTTTGGAGTCATTGAATCAGCTGTTCTGAGCAAAAGAATATTATAGTAGGCAACAATTTTTATTCGGGGAAGAAAAAGTGGGGGTAGGGAACCAAACGATATTGCCCGCTTTAAAATGTTGGGGTGGGGGTCCCCCATCCCCCACCGATTGACGCTGCGCCCATGATAATTATGTACCATGGCATGTATAACTGTCTGTAAATTTTCCTGTTGGTCTGTTAAATTGCATTTTGTGAGGCAGTCGCGTTTGTTAATGTGGGAAAACTGAGTTGAAAGACTTACCGTATAGTACACAGGCGAAGGCTGATTGTACTGTTTTGACAATAAATCATAATGGAATAAAACGTGAAGGTGGCATTTGCAATAAAAATGTTGAGTGTGTTACCATAAAATTACATAGTCTGAATCATGGAGGAAGGTCATTATGAAGGTACAGTATTGGACTCTCCAACAAACGTAAACTTGAACTTCTTACAATTTGCGAGACCTGCGAGGAAAAAGTCGATTTAACTATTTTATTCAGGTTGGCATGGGTCAACCATAATATAAGCAAGGCCAAACAGCCAACAACCGCCAATATTATTATTTATGCACTCTTCGTTATTCCAACCCAACATAGTTCAAAGATCACAATATTTGAAGCAATGCATCGATCCCTCGTTGATTTACCCGATCATAGATCGGGTAGGGCGTAGAGTTGGGGATGAAAATTTGGGGAGATGAATGTAATTGGGGGATTTAGTTGAGAAGACGTGCAGTTATAGAAAAGCAATTTCTGTGGTGCGATCTGAGGCAATTTCTGACCACTAAAACAATTTTTTTTAGCAAAAGATCATCTTTTAAACATCATTTTTGAGTTTGGTGTCCTTAAAATGAGCTATTCTGAGTAATAGAATCATTATACATGTAGTAGCTACAATTTTTATTCGGGGAAGAAAAGTGGGCGGGGGGGGGGGGGAGGGGACCCAAAAAGTCTCCACCGCTTTAAAATGGGGGGGGGGGGTGGAGGGGTTCCCCATCCCCCACCGATTGACGCCCATGATAATTATGTACCATGGCAACAGTCTGTAAATGTTCCCGTTGGTCTGTTAAATTGGCATTTTGTGAGGCAGTGGCATTTGTGAGAAAACGTACTTGAAAGGCTTGCCGTAGTACACAGGCGAAGGCTGATTAAGAAGGTCATAATTAAGTTTCAGTATATTGGACTCTTCAACAAACGTAAACTTGAACGTCTTACAATTTGCGAGACTGTCTGCGAGGAACTTGTCGAGTCAACTGTTATTCAACTTGGGTCAACCATCTTTATAAGAGCAAATTTTACTCGGCCTCCGAGAAATGTTTGCTCCTGAAACGATCTGAGACCGCGGTCTTTCGCGACGCCAAAATCGCTCCACGTCCGTGGAAAAATGTGGAGGGTGTCTTCCGCCGGATCGGACACATTTTCGTTGATTTTTTGTGTGACTGCGTTTAAGATCGCGATGCTTGAAGCAATGCATCGATCCTTCGTTGATCCCAGACAGGCCCCCGAAATTATAACGCAACACTGTGGCGGGCAGCGAACTCACAACGCTCAGCCTTGGTGGAAGCATGGAGCTGTATTAACACACGATGGAAGCAACAGAGCACTATACACGTCACTCACATGCTTGTGCTTCAAATCATGCAAATAGCGAGCACCGTAGACCCAACCTCGTTTCCAGGGTGTGGAGCAGGCTGCAGTAC